TGTTGACTTTCTAACCAAACAAACTGGCTGGAGAGTTTATTTCCTGATTTTCAGTGACAATTACAGAGAAGGAACGCAACAAATGATACCATTAATAATAAAATAATCTAAGCTGGATTAATTAATTCTTGGCTGTTGCAGCTTTTACATCTTGGCTTCTTTGCCTTCTGGGCCAAGATACAATTCAGCATATTTAACTCTGCCAAATATTGCCCTGAGTGACAGACAACATGGAAAATAGAAATTTTCAGTTCCTTTGAAGCAGCAAAGTAAGAGTTTAAAGATTAACTAGCAAAATAGATAAAAAAATGTAGAAGTATGCACACAGGATGGCAGCTGGAACCAGTGGAGAAATAGATAATGAGGAATATAGTGGKTTTTGTGGCACAATTAYGTRACAAGAAGYAACAACAATGCCTCAAGAAAAATTCAAGGCAAGATCATCTGTAACRTTGGGGGCACTCAGYGAGTAMGACCACCACAGRTCCCTTTAGATGGCCCCCTAGAACCATGAAAGGACTTCCAGTAGGAGGCAGATGGATGCCAATCACTTCTAGGAAAAATGATGCTTATATACTAGGAAGCACACTGTAATAAATATGTATGAATATGGAATAAAGYTGTAAAGTTTCACACCACACATTCAATTAGAGGAGAAATCCTCTGAATGTGTCCAGTGCTGTAGTGAAGAATGTCTGCTTTCTAATACTTCAAATTGTGTTAGCAGTTTATATCTGTATCATACAAAGAACACAAGTTTGTTCTTTCTCTACAGATGAATGTTCACAAGCTGTTAATTGCAACTGAATCTTTTTAAACAGACCTTTCATTACTTTTCCTGCAGTTTGGTTCAATGAYCCCATGTTATAGAGGAATTTCAGTCTGACAGTTAGCAGATATCCTAACCTAGAAACTGTTGGGGTGCAAATCTACTACCAYCAGCCTTTCTGTGGTACATCCACCCTAGCCACAGCACACGCAGAGGAGATTCTCATCTTCACATTCAGCATCTGTCCATGGCTGAACTTTGCAACCCCATTAGGATGATCTACATTCACTCTTACAACATGTCACTGATTMTCTTAAAATTATAAAAATACCCTGTAAGTAACAATTTTCAGCTTCTTCGAACCATTACACTGCTCATGCATACACACAAAAAGCTTAAGAGCAAGGGTATCAAAATGGTATCACTCATGGTATCAAAAACTGTTAAAAATAAAAAAACCTCCTTAACATCAATGTAGCATTAAGAAGCAGGCATTCTTTATTCAGCCAGATGMAAAAGGGGATATTTCCTCCAAAATACTGTGCGTGTTAATGGCAGAAAAGCTCCTGTTTATTATACACTATATTTTACCTACATAKTCACTGATTCTCCCAGAATAAACATACATATGGTAATCATATCCCCCAAATCATTAGTGTATTTTCCCTACCCTTTATGCAAGCATTTTTCTGTCCTGGAGGTCTCTTTCTGTCCTGATGGTCCCTGATGACTGGCGACCCCAAAGTCATACCTGACCACTCAGTGAACTGGTAAAAGTTGGCACAACCAGGCTGGTTGTGTTACAGTTCTTCTTACAGAATGGGCACTGTGAAGTTCCAGCACATCCAGCAGCATTCATACAGCACCAAGTCACAAGAAATGARCAGCATTTGCTAGAGTGAGAATGGGGTAGAGGGAAGGGTTCATCACAGAGCTGTGAGACYTCCCCAAAACCAAGGACAACTAATGGTATTTTTTTCTAGGTAATTTTATGGTACTCATCACCATGACTTWTTGGTCAGCCTAGATGGCCTCTGATACTCTTAAGAACCATTAAAAGAGTAAAAAACAATTCCAGCAGCTGCTGGAATTTGGAAAGTGTCCTACTGCAGCATCTAGGCATTCATAAATTACACTGGAATAATGTAAACAAAATGAAATATTAATCACAGCACCAGTGACCATCTGATAATTCCTGGTTTTACCAGTGTCATTATATTCACTTAGTCAATATGATGATCATGTTCACTAATAATTACTTTAGCTCTGTGTGTCCATCAACACCTACACAGATTATTTAAGAAATTATTAACCTAAACTCTGTTGGAATTTATTTAATTATAACAGCATTGCTGCTGGCACATTTTTCAGAGAGAGGAATTGCTGTCCTCACTCGTGCAAGCCAGTCCTTTGTATTTCCATGTCATACTGCAGTGGTCACATACAGCAAACAAAAGATTCAGATAGGTKTAAGGGCAAACAAAATTTTTCTGGAGTTCTCACATAGAGCTAATCTAAGCACCCATCCACATTCCAACACCTTGAGGGGAAAAAATCATCTGATCAGTTTACAGCTGATATCCAAAGCGGMCACCTGTGCATGGTAGCTTCATGAAATCAAGTGTTCTGTGTCCTTTATTGCATACTGCTGCCTACCACAGCACACATACAGGCACTAGGAAACCAATAATCCCATTACTCTTCAGMAGTAATCAGCTCTCTCCGTTTGGTCTTTTCATTCCCTCTGCATTCCCCYCTTCCTTCTCTCTCCCTTGTTCCTGTAATTCCATTTAACCAAATAAACCACAACATTGATTTCCATGCAATCAATTACATCTGCTCTTCTTTSTATTAAAGGAAGAACATTGGTATTTATGTCAATCCTGTTTTGAGGTTCTTGATATGGGGGAATGAAAAAGTTAATAACCACTGCTTAACTAAGCTTATCTTACTCAACATACCATAGTGCTTGCTTATCTCGCTCAACATTAATCTTGCTGACCGAGAACTGTAAGGAARAAGACATCTGTGACAGAGTTCCTATTTTTTGGACCCTTAAACCGGTCAAAACCAGAGGTTTGGACTAATACCAAGGAGCCAGGGAGCATGCGCAAGGATCAAGGGTGAACAGTTAAGTTCTGAGGAAGACTCTTCATCAAAGAACCACCTGAAGACCACTGCCAAGAGGCAAGACCCATATGTAAACACWTGCAGACTCATTAGCATAGGAAGCAGGGATAGGCTGTGAATATGCATAKGCATACTGAGTAATGCAACGAATATGTATCCTGTAACCCAATATAAACTGAGAAGCTGTACCACCAGCACATGCGTGTCTTTGGAGGGCAACCTCCCACACACCCAGTGCTGAGAATAAACACACCTACTTCACAACTTTAACAAGTTGTGGAGTCTTTCCAAGCATCAGCTCTCTTCACCCAGAATAAAAAGTCCAGGGACCAGAAACAAAAGTGAATTCAACATGCAAGAGTTTGGGAATGTGTCAGTAACTTTATCCTAAGAAAATTACAAATACACAATCTTTTCAGAGGAACACAAGTTTCAATCAAACTCCTATGAAAAGGCTCTCATGTCCTGATGGATAGGAAAAAAGGTTACTAGTAGTGGTACCTCAGTTGTCCCAAGGATCCCCCATATCAGGCTGCTTAGGAGACAAACTTTTATGCCATCTAATTTACCTAACAGAATTACAAGTCTTTTTTTGTTTGCCTGTTCCTGATTTTAGTTTCTTTAAAATGTTTTACTAGATTTTGTTATCTTAAATGCAGAGTTAAAATAAGACAAGTGGGAAAAAAATATTAGGTATATTTAAAAAAGAAGTCTAAAAGTTGTTCGTTATTGGGAGATACCTACTGAAAGACTTGTACACTGACAACTCAGCTAAATTATTAGTTTACAGGGGGCAGCTGCATTCATGGAACAGTCACCATGCAGATGTTTCTCTAAAGCACCTCACATACCAAACCTTTGATAAAAGAAGCCTGCAGCCAAAGAACTGGCAACACAACAGGTGATACCCAAACTATTTTTGATTAAAACCACTGTTGAGAAGCCAAGAGAGGTCAATGTTTTATGTTCATATAACATAAAACATTTCAGGTATACAGTTATATACCAACCTCTCTTTAACACCAGGCTGACAGGCTTGTGCAGCAATTCTTTGTCATCACCTAGAGTTGTTTTTTTGTTGGTGGCTATGCTGCAGCACACAGGGCCATGAAGATGATTACAGGGATGGAACAACTCTCTTTTGAGGAAAGGCTGAGAGAATCGGGATTGTTCAGCTTGGAAAAAAAAAACGCTCCAAGGTGATCTAATTGTGGCCTTCCAGTACCTGAAGKTAGCCTACAGAACAGCTGGACAGGGACTTTGAACAARGGCCTGGAGAGACAGGACTAGGGGGAACGGCTTCACATTGACAGAGWGTAGAGTTAGACGGGATATTTTGAGGGTGAGGCCCTGGCACAGAGAAGCTGTGGCTGCCACATCCCTGGAAGTGTTCAGGACTAAGCTGGACAGCACCAGAAGCACTAGAAGCGACCTAGTCTAGGTGAAGGTGTCCCAGCCCACGGTAGGGAGTTAGAACTAGATGATCTTTAAGGTCCTTTTCAACCCAAAGTTTACGGTGATACCACAATTTCTACCCAGCGGTTTGCGGCATGCGTGCCAGTGCCTGCCTTGGGTGCGGCGACGGCTCCTCACCTCATGTCCCTGCGCTGCTGTACACAGGCCCGACCTGGGCTCAGGCCTCTCCTCTGCTCGCAGTCGCGAATGCCCGGCCAGAGGAGCCGCTGTTCTGCTGGTGGGCCGGCCCAGGCTCCACGGCAGCTCAGTCACATTACATTACATTACATTACATTACATGGCACGGCACGGCCTGTCCCGGCCTGTCTCGTCTTGTCCCGTCTCGTCCCGCCCCTTTCGCGCCCGACGGCCGCCGCCTCGCGCAGGTCTCCGGCACGCGCGCGCCGCCCCGACAGCCAATGGGAGGCGGCGGSGGCGGCGGGGCGGCAGCGCCCCCTCCCGCCAGCGGCTGAGACGGCGGAAGCAGCGCACCCCCACGAGGGAGCGGCGCGAACAGCGGCCATGACCGCTGAGCCCCCTCAGCCCCTCACAGCCCCCTCAACCCCACAGCCCCCGGGCCCGCGCGTCACGGTCCGTCCCTTGCCTCGCCCCGCCCCGCCGGGCCTGGGCCCGCCCTCCCACTCACCCGCCCCGGGCGCGGGCAGCCCGGTCCCTCTGGCTGGAGACGCCGCGCGGCTGCGGGGGGAAGGCCGAGGCAGCGGCGCTTTCCCCGCGGGCTCCGGGCACTGTCGAGTGGCCCCGCTCCTCCTGCGCGGTCCTGGGCCGACCCCAGCGCCGCACCGGGCGGGGGGTGGTTCGTTCGCGCAGCCGCGGCGGCGCAGGCGCTCGCGGGGGCCGCCGGGAGTCGCAGTCTCCGGGCAGGAGCTCCCGCCGGGCACCGCCCCAGGGGCAGCGGCCGGGCACGGCCACCCCTGGCCGGGGGGTTGTGSCAGCCGCGCTCTGCCTGCGGCGCAGTCGGGCAGCTCGGGGGGCTGCGGCGCGTTGTTGTATGCCGCTGTCCGCACGGATCGGCCGCGCTGAACATCCAGAGCTGCTCTCCTGTGCAAAACGAAGTTCACTCTCCTGTTAAAATTTACAAGTTTAATAAATGACAATAGGAGACAGTAAGCAAAAGCATACGGCGCCTGAGGGGACGCCAGGTGCTTGGCGATCTGGCAGAGGCACTCCTTATTGACAAGAGGAGTCAATAAATACATTTTATTACATTATTTAAATACATTATTTAAATACATTATTTAAATACATTATTTAAATACATTTTATTACATTATTACATTACATTTTATTACATTATTTAAATACATTATTTAAATACATTATTTAAATACATTATTTAAATACATTTTATTACATTATTTAAATACATTATTTAAATACATTTCGTATTGTATCAACTTAATGCTGGTACATTTATGTATATTCAAACTTTTCTAAGAACTGTTTAGCATGGTACTTCTTCCGGTCCACACTCTTTAGAGCATGTGCAATTCTGGTGTTGGTGGCTCTGAGGGTCGCACGTGTGACCCCCCCGCCCTGTTCTCTGGTTTCAGCAGATGGAAGGGTTTGATAAGTCGAAGTGTCTATAGCAGGGTTCTTTGATGAGCTATGATACCTTGGGATGGTCTATGTAGATAAGTTTGTCTAAGGTTGGGGGTCCTATTTGCTGGGTTCCTTTGCGCAGCAGAGGACGARCATTTCACGAGCTCTGACTAGAGACTTTTCACTACACATCCCAAAGCCTCTGTTCCYACCACCCTTTCGCTGTCAGGATCTGTGCTGGCTTGGCAGCTGAGAGCCCTGGGGCRATGGCCTCCCCACCCCGAAGGTGTTAAGCTTCCTGACTGCTTTGTGAATGCATGCATCTTGTTTTCTGGCTCTGTTGGTTTCTGTTGGTTTCTTATCTTTTCAACCACAAGTGCCGCTCCGGCCTCATTCAGGGGTTTGGGGTTTTTTTGGCTGACTTTTTTGGTAGCTTTTGTATAGTTTTGCTATAATATGAAAAAAGTTTTWTTATGGAAATGTTTAAGTTACAAGCCATAACACTTTAGTTACTGTAAGTTAACTACAAGTCTTCTAAAACAACATCAGTTATATTTTAACTGTATTTGAGTTACAAAAGAAAAACAAAAACAGTAGTGGTTATTTCACTACTGTGTCTGCATAATTAAGTTACTTACATAAAAAAGGCAACRTTGCCCACATAGCACTTACCTTAATGTATGTGTTTATAACATCTCTGGAACCAATGATGGCAGGAACAGCCTCCACCAGGAGAAAGCCTTACTTTGGGTTAATCAGGAACTTCATAGCACAGCAGTCTTTTATTTAGTTTTCAAAGATGTTGAGCATAATGGATGCTATCATGAGATCCCTTTTCCTGGCTCAAAAGAGTCAAAGATGTTTTCTGACATCACTGTTCCTTTCCTTTATATTTCAATTCAATGTAGTAAATGTGAATGGAAAGTTTTCAATTCAAAGGAAAATGCTGCATTTCAAAATATGATCTTACTCAAAAGAGCTGCTATTAAAACCAAGAGATTTAAAATCAAACTATCATTTTCATAAAAACAACATCTTATTTACTGTGCATAGAGGCTTAAAACTGCTACTGTATTTTCAAAATACATTAGCACAATGTGTTTTAGAGTTGGTCAAGAATAACCACCAAACACTGCAGCTTCAATCTCATTTGTATAGGAAATGGAMGCATGCTCAGTTGAAAGCATTCAGCCTCCTCCTAGTTGTAGTAAATTGCAAAAAAAAATCCATCTGRGGAATGTCAGAAAAATTAATCCAAAAACCCCAGAGGTTTATGTTCAAAAAGGAGACAGAGGAGTCCTGTACCTTTAGTCATGAATGAAGGGAGAGTTTATGGGCATTCCCCATGGAGTCTCTCCAACTGATAAAGGATGTAGCCTCTTTTATCCTGATTTCCTGGCCAAAGTTCCCTCTGTCTTTCCCCATTGCCTGAGGTGCTTGAGAGGTACAGACTTCCCAAAACACCTAATGCAAATCTCTTTCTAATATACATTCCCCCCTTTCTTCTTTCTCTTATGTCTCTGTTCTTGTAGTTTATTAACACAGTCTTGGATAAGTCAATCAGTAGAATTCCTGTGGAAATCCTTCCCATTTTCTTCTGTCTCTCAGTATCAGTCTTACCTTACCAGCAGACTCACTGTAAAGACACTCCCTTCTTGTTCCTTTCAGGAATGAAGCTCAAAACCAGGAAAAGGTCCTGGAGGATATCCTTTGGCTATTCTTGCACCATCACTAGAGGYGGTGGACCAGTGCAAAACAAATACCCAGCTGCAAATATTGACCAGAGTATTCTGAGCAAATGACCTGGGTGATTCAAGATACCATCGYTCTTGTGGTTCCTTGCCTCTGTTCAGTTGGACATAACTGTTCTCATTACATTGTGGGAGACAGCAGCATTCTGCAGTGCTCTAGAAAAACAAATCTCAAACCCCAACCACCAAAACATTTCAAAACCCCAAAAAGATTTTTTAAAAAGCCATCCCCTACTCATTGCCACCTTAAGCTAAACGAGGAGATTTCACCCTGCAGTACTTGGATGGTTCCTTTTTGCAGACCCAGTGCAGGGAAAAGTGTAACCACTGGTGAAGAATTTCAGCACAAAGGACACAAACCTTTCTAAGCAGCTATTTACTGCAACAACTGTTTACTATATCAATTTGTCAGTTCCCTTTGCTGTTTAGATRGCATTTTCAGTAAAAGGCATCCATAACTTCATGTTCCACCATGTGTTCATGCTGACATCTTCCAGTTCCACCTTACTGCACACACAGCTGATACTGACCTTTCATACAGATTTAGATGTTGTAAGCACACCCTGCTCAAAAGTTATTCAAGCAACTCCTTCTGGAAGACAGGAGTAGTTTACCTGTGTACAAAACGCAGCTCACTGCCAAGACATCGCCCGAAATGGAAGCACTTTGTCAGGACATCATTTGGAGGTGTGTCCCAACTGTTGCCCTGCAGGCATGGATTGTTCTGGGCGTGGAGAAGATGCCTTTTGGTTACAGAACATCACACCATGATTCATTTTGAGAGTCGTATGGTCCAGCTGCTTCCTGCTGGTAAGATCATTATTGCCATGACATGGGTTCTCAGAAGAGTGGAAATTTGGTTATTTCTCCAGGTCAGGATTCTTCCCACTATTCTGYATCCCTCTGTGTGAAACACGTACAAGTGACCAAGGGCTACCATCAAAYCACAGCTGAAATGCAGAGTGGATTTATTTCATTACCTTGCTAATAACACCTTGTGGAAGACACATGGGGACACAGGYTCTGTTTGGCTCAGTTCATTCTAGCAGGCAGCAGCAGCAAGGGTGGTGTCTCTTATATTTTGTGCAGCAGTTAGACTGCAGAGTCTGGAAGCTATGAGCAAATCTATCAAACCCTCAGAGCTCAAGGTTCATAGTGCCCTGCTGTGCGCTTTTCCTTTTATATGTAGATCTAATCTCTTTCCTTTGATACCAAAATTGGCTAGAACACAAACTTCATAACGCAATTTGAAGTATTAGAGAGTAGGCATTTTTTATTCTCAACACGCTGAACACACCTGGAGGATATCTCCTCTAATCAATTGTGTCCTGAAACTTTACAAAAAGGTGTTTATCCCATCATGTTCATATATACATATATTAGAATGTACTTCCTAGTTATACATAAACATCGCTTTTCCTAGAATTTATTTGCATGCATCTGCCTCCTATTGGAAGTCCTTTTATGGTCCTAGAGGATTRTCTAAAGGGGTCTTCTGGYTRTACTCACTGAGTGCTACCAACATTGTAAATAACCTGCCTTGAACTTCTCTTAGAGCCTGTGCTGTTGCTTCTCGTTTGTTGGTTTTGCCACAAAAACTACTATATTCCTCATTATCAGTTTTTCTAGTTGTTCCAGCTACATTTATCATCCTGTGTCTGCTTTYACATTCTTTTATCTATTTTTCTAGTTAGTCTTTAAGCTCTATTTTGCAACTTCAAGGGAACTGAAAATTTCTATTCTCTGTGTTGTCTGTCACCTTCTCCCAAATTATTTTTTATTACAACTCCAAAGCCAGTGTAGCCCCAATTCAGCCCAAGAACAGCAATCTGCACTTTGTGTCACAGCACACCAGTGATGACGGACCAGAAAGAGATTACAGTGGTCCACATCTTTTCCATTTTCTTTTTAACTCATTTTTCTTTGCTCCAATTGTCTAGATTTCTGTGCTTTCACTGTTTTTTTTTTTTCTTTGTTAAATAGTAAATAAGGGCATTCTGTACTTTTACTTTGAACAYGGCGCACACAATAAGGCTGATGAACATAAGGGCAGTGTAAACACTTGGCTAGTAAGAACACAGGCACTGTTTATTCTTCTGATTTATTGCTTTTCCCTCAGTTAAGCATATTCTGGGGAGTTTAGCAAGGAATGTTTACTAGGATGTCTTGGTTCCATGTCCTCTCACACTGATGATCATAGATCAAGTGATCAAGAACCTTCTATTGCCATCATTTCTAATGACAATGTAAAGTCTATAGACCACTCTRGCTCATGTACTATAACTCTTCTGAAAGAAGAGGGAACCACCAGAGAGTTACAGTGACAGTAAATATGCATTTTTCCAAAGTTCACAAATGAAACCCCTTAACTTTACATRCTATCCAAAATTGCAGGCACTAAAAATGGGTCATGGGGACCCCTAAGCACAACTTCTTCAAGCACAAAAGAAGTTGCTGCATTGAAAATATGGCAAATTTGTGTGGTGAGATCCCTCAATGAGCATACTGGTTAACAGGGATATTAAAAGCA